GGGGGGGGAGGAGCTTTCCTGGGCCAGACCCTGCCTCAGAGCAAATAGGGGGAGAAAATAGTCACAGCCAAAGGGGACAGTCAAAAAAGGAAGAGCTATGAAAAGGAGAAATCACGTTGCAGAACAGAGGGGGATGGGGGGGGTAAATGCCTGTGAGCTAATGATATTAGAGGTGGTAACTGGGGAAGCTAGCTTTGTAATGGGTAAGGTAATTAGAGTCTTTATTCAAACTTAGGTGTAAAGTGTCCAATTTAAGCATGAATGACAGTTCAGAGGATTCCCTTTCAAGTGTATTCTGAAAAGGCCTTTGAAGCTGGATGCAGGTAGTCAAGTCGTTGAGACAACGTCCTTTCTGGTTGAAATGGCAAGAAATTGTTTTTTCTTTGTGATCCTGTCTGATATCTGTTTTGTGGGCATTGATCCTTTGGCGAAGCATCTGAAATGGTGACTTGTGCGGCTCACTCCTGCGGCGCATGACCCCCCCCCTCGGTGTGACGCTGTCCTCACAGCTCTCCTGCGGGGCCGGGGCAGCTTGGCGTTTGTGGGCAGCTGAGCGCTGCCCTAGTGGCTGGGGCCCCCAGGGCAGCTTGGCGTTTGTGGGCAGCTGAGGGCTGCCCTGGTGGCTGCTGCCCCCACTGTCCAGCTCCACTAAAACACTCTGCGCGGGCTCGTCTTCGCCAGCCCGTGTCTGCATCCAGGCTGGACGCGCAGAGGTCTAGGCAGACAGCAGCGACAGCAGATCAGTGATGACTGGAAAGCGACAGTCCTCTCAGCTGCTTTCACTAGCACTGCAGACTGAGAGGAAGCAGGGATCTTAAGCCCCAGTAATGAATTGTTAGTGGTTGAGAGGGGGAAAGGAAGGCAAGTAAGTAAAGACTGGGGAACAACAAAGCGTGGGTGTCCAAACTCTGCCCGTCTCTAAAAAATCTGCCCAATAGAAGGCTGCCTTGGTGACCACCCATGAGCCAAATGGATAGACAGGCACTCCCTGAGCTATAAACATCAGACTTAGGAACGCCCGCACGTACAAACAAGCTCAGCTGCAGCCTCAGTCAGGGACACTTGTAGGATGTATGGGGCCCTACTCAGTACTATTAAACTGGTGCCCCTGTGCCTGACAGCATTGGGTGAGGGAGTGGTGATTTTTTTAGAGATGTAATTTTATAATTTTCAACAACACACCAATGAAATATTTTTAAAGCACATTTTAAATTATGGTCCTGTAGATAAACAGTAAATTCAGAAAGTAATCGGATATAAAATAAGGAAGAGACAATGGCAAATTAAATTTAATGTGGATAAGTGTAAAGTAATGCACATTGGGAAAAATAACCCCAACTATACGTACAGTATGATGGGGGCTAATTTGGCTACGACAAATCAGGAAAGAGATCTTGAAGTTATCGTGGACAGTTCTCTGAAAACGTCCACACAATGTGCTGCAGCGGTCAAAAAGGCAAATAGGATGCTAGGAATTATTAAGAAAGGGATAGAAAATACGACACAGAATATCTTACTGCCCCTGTATAAAACTATGGTACGCCCACATCTTGAATACTGTGTACAGATGTGGTCTCCTCACCTCAAAAAAGATATTTTAGCCTTGGAACGGGTTCAGAAAAGGGCAACTAAAATGATTACGGGTTTGGAACGGGTCCCATATGAGGAGAGGTTAAAGCGACTGGGACTTTTCCGTTTAGAAAAGAGGAGACTGAGGGGGGATATGATAGAGGTATATAAAATCATGAGTGGTGTGGAGACAGTGAATAAAGAAAAGTTATTTATTAGTTCCCATAATAGAAGAACTAGAGGACACCGAATGAAATTAATGGGGAGCAGGTTTAAAACCAATAAAAGAAAGTTCTTCTTCACACAGCATGTAGTCAACCTGTGGAACTCCTTGCCAGAGGAGGCGGTGAAGGCTAGGACTATAATAGAGTTTAAAGAGAAACTAGATAATTTCATGGAGGTTAGGTCCATAAAAAGCTATTAGCCAGGGGATAAAATGGTGTCCTTGGCCTCTGTTTGTCAGAGGCTGGAGAGGGATGGCAGGAGACAAATCGCTTGATCATTGTCTTCGGTCCACCCCCTCTGGGGCACCTGGCATTGGCCACTGTCAGCAGACAGGCTACTGGGCTAGATGGACCTTTGGTCTGACCCAGTACGGCCGTTCTTATGTTCTTATGGCATCACCATTATAGTCTGTGACTATGATGTTCTAAAGTAAGAGGCCTGTATTATGTAATATAAAATAAGAAAATGACAGTGGCAACTGGCAACTCTAGATTTCTCTTACTGTACGTTTCTGTGCTGTTCCTTCGGTGACAGTCGAAACCTCGTTAGTTAATTAAACAAACCATAAGGATTGGCAGCGGCGGATTTGGGGCAGGGAGAGCGGGGCAGCTTCCCCGGGCCCCGTGCTTGCAGAAGCCCCGTGCATGCGCATTGTCAAAGGGGGGGAGCCCCCGCGAAATTGTGCTGCCCGGGGCCCCGCGGCGCTCTCATCTACCCCTGAGGATTGGCTAAGATAAACTTTTTTTCTAGCAATACCCAACATAGCAAACTGCTTGGGAATTTGCTTGTCAAATCACACTTATACTAAAAGGCAAAGAGCGTCTTGAAGAACAATGCATTGCAAAGTTGATCCACATTGTTCTTCAGGTAATATCCACATCTTCATCCATATTAGGGATGTGAATGGTTAACTAGTTAACCAGTAAGCATCAGCCCCACATCCACTGCCAGAATTATGATGTCTGGCAATAAAAACTGTGACTTTAATGTGACTCTGGAACTAATCCTGAAAAAGTTGTGTATCTTAAAAGAATTAAAAATTCTTGGTTTTTTTTTACTTGTTTTACAGGTCAGACTACAGACCCAACCAAAACCTCTGCCTGGACAGTCTCCACTCTATTCTGGGACCTTTGACTGTTTCCAAAAGACTCTTGTTAAAGAGGTACTGTATCCTGGCACTTGCAGTGCCTGCCAAAAATGTCAGTTGCTCATGTACGTCATTGGAGTGGAACTGTCTGGGGATCTGCCTCCCCCAGACTATAAGACTCTCAATCAAGGTTATCAATTCAGATGGTTCAAATTCAAATTTTTCATCGCATTTGTGAAATTTGAGAGGAGAACTGGTAGAGGGAGATTGTAATCCTTGAAATGTGTGATTTGATCTTTTAAAAAAAAAGTCAGAAATGTGGTGGTGGTTAAAGGTTATAATGAGCATGGGCAGTTATTCGCTGGCTGTATTGTGGTACGCACTGGATTTTGATGCCATTGCTATGGAGCGCTCTTTGGAATGTCTCTGATTTCTTCTAAAACCCATAATTCCCTCTGACAAGCAGAAGAGGAATTATTAGTTCAGATCCATAGATTTTTTTATTTTTTTTTGAGTCCAGAAGGCATCACTGTAGCATCACAGAACTGTAGAGCTGGAAGGGATCTTAAGAGGACTTCTGAAGAAGTGCCCACAAAAGCACATGATACCATCAACATGTTTTGTTAGTCTTTAAGGTGCTGTTATTTATGTTTTTCCAGTTACAGACTAACTTGGCTACCCCTCTGAAATAGTTAAAATAATGGATTTCATCAGGCTCTGCTATCTTGAATAAATATAATTTATTTAACCTGTTTTTCCCTGTTCTGGCCTGCATTTCTTCCCCCTTGCTGTTGTTATGTGTGTCTGGAATCTGGTCACAATTAATCCTTTTTAGCAAAGAGTGAAGCAAAAGAGCCATTTAACACCTGAGCTTCCTTCAAGTGATCCATTATTAGCTCTACTTCCTACTCACCAGAAGAACTATACTTTTATTAATTTTTCTCCTGCTCTTAATATATGTGTAAAATCTTTTCTTACTGCTAGAAAGAGACATGAAAGGCAAAATCCCTACAACTTTTGCTACTTTGTATTCTTCCTTAGCAATTTGTCTCTGTTACAGGGAATTGTGTAACATTAAAGAGTTCTCTTTGGAGCCATATTGACTTCTTACTATTCTTGGTATATTTCCTTTGCATCAGAATAGTTTGCAGTTGTGCCTTTTAATATTGTCTGACTGAAAAATGATCAACTCTCCAGAACTCCTTTTTCCCTTGGGCTCAGATTTTTATTCCCTTTTATCCTTACCTCTCAGCCCTGACTTTAATGGATTTCAGAAAAGCAGACTTTGCCTTTATTCTTCTGCTTTCACTCCTCCTTTTCCTCAGAATTGTGAAATCTATCATTTCATGTTCACTTTCATCCAAAATGCCTCCCACCTTCAGATTTACCATCAATTCCTCCCTCTAAGTCAGAATTGAGTCTGAAATGGATGTTCCGTTTATTTTCTGCACCTTCAGAAACAAACAGTTGCCCGCAAAACATTCTAAGAACTTACTAGAAATGTTGTTTTTTGGCCTGTTACTTTTCCAATTGCTGTCTGGGTGGTTAAAGTGCCCCATTACTTTGGAATCTTATGTTCATTTCTTTTGACTTTGTGTAGAACACAGGCTGTTGAATTTCATCCCAGTGACTCCTGCACAATGCCTGTATGTGTGGCTTTTAGAAAGGTGTCCAGTCTCCATTTAGTCTTTCAATGGGAGAGAATCTACTGTGTCCCTTGGTGAGCTATGCCAGTGATTAATTACCCCCCATTGGTTAAAAATTGTGCTTTATATCATATATCTTCAACTTCCAATCATTATTATGCCTTTGTCTGCCAACTGACAGAGCACTGTGATATCCGAAAACTTCCTCCATTCGTGAACTCTTGTATTCTGTGACCAAGTCACCTCTTAACCTTATCTTGGATAAATTAAATTGAGCATCCTCAGTCTCTCACTATAGAGGAATCTTTCTGGATCTTATATAATTCATGTAGCTCTTCTCTGTACCTTTTTCTAATCCTTCCTGAACACCAGAACAGGACACAATATCCACTAAAAATCTCACTGTTGCTAAGTACAAAGGTAATCCCTACCTCCCTACTCCTCCTTCATGTTAACTATTCTTAGCTGTATAAGCAAGTAAAGTCTTTCCCTTTTTGGCATCTTGTGGAGGCCCTCTCGGTACCCTCCTTGTGTTAGCTGGCCTGTCTCACCCTGAGTCTCTTGTACACAGGTGCCAGCCAGTGTGAGGAAATGTGTAAGAATGAGTTGAAATGACTGGAGGCAGGGAATGTTTGTCATGCTGTAAGTGGCCTTTGACAAGTGGCTGTTGGCTTTCCACTTTCATCCTAGCATTCAGCTTTGTCCTTCTGACCCAGTGTTGCTGTGTTTGGTTATTGCCTGACAGCAGCAAATAGCTTTGTGCTGTTGTTGCAGGCCACAGAACATCAGCATGATGAAACTAACTGCTTGAGGAGGAAGGCAGGAAGAAATGGAGGCTAGTGGGAGCCTGTCAAATTAGAAGATGACGCTTTCCATAGGAATGTTTACAGATTCCAAGGCCAGAAGGAACCATTGTCATACAGAACTTCCCCAAAATATTCCCTATAGCGACCTCTTCTGTTGTACCCCTTTTGTACCTCCAGAGGTGTCTATGACCAGAAGAGATTGGGGGGGGGGGAGAGTTGATGCTGTCATTTCTGTCACAGAAAGTGGATTTCAAAACTATTAGTTCTATATGTGGAAATTGACCGTCATTTACAGGCTTGATACATGTTCCGTAATATCTTAATTTTATGACAAGTTGCTTCTTACCTCTGCTTCCAGAATCCTATCCCTTAGGGTGGAGGAAGGGAAGTGAAAGGATTAAATAGTCAGTCAAATCTATCCCTGCTGCAACTCCATTGAAATCAGTTGCCTTACACCAGGGAGGAGTCAGGGCCATTTGAATTCATGTTCAGTGTCAGGATTAGACTGAAATGTTGCCTTCTGAAGACTTTAATACAGCACATGTTTATGTATGTATGGTGTGAGCCATGGACTGAGCCATGCATGTTTCTAACAGGACTGTATTTAAGGTAGTCACCAGCTACTTTATATTTGGGGTGGCAGAGAGCTGAGCCAATGCTGGTGGGGAAAGCACTGGAGTGGAGCAGTGGAGGCAGGAAGGCAGTTACCTGGAGAGTAAGAAAATCTCTTAATCTAGTGCCATTTTAGTAGGTATAGGTTTGGGGAGTCTTCCTTTCTGTGCCCCCTCCTCTCACCTGGGCTAGCAAGAACAGGTCTGACTTCTCCACAACCCTTCTGGAGTGTGTTTTAAAACTATACCATTGTAAATCCCTTTTATTCATGCACCTGGCTGCCTTTGCTGTCATAATCTTGTATAGTAACTTGCTTCTTGATGTGTTGAAATACTTATCCCCCTGAAGAGTTCTGCATGCAACCTAACTAACCCCCTGTGATAACCTGCTGTGTCTTCCAGGGAGTGCGAGGTTTGTATAAAGGAATGGCAGCTCCGATTATTGGAGTGACTCCCATGTTTGCTGTGTGCTTCTTTGGATTTGGTTTGGGGAAAAGACTGCAGCAGAGGAACCCTGATGACATTCTGACGTGAGTTCTGAGTTATTTGGGTGTGTAGCATACCTTTTCTACAGCTCCCAGCCTGCTGTGTGGAATTACACATTGTGTTTTGGTGTAAATGTGTCTCCTCTTTGGATTATAAATATATATTTTTTTAAATTCCCCCTCCAAAGTGGTGGTAGTACTCCTAAAAGCATGAGACTCATAGCACAGGCTAAAAACAGACAGTAGGGGGCAAATATTGTGCAGCTCCCTTCCTGTGCAGAAAGACAGGGCTATTCAAGAACAACCGAGCTGTCACTTGATGTTAGTTACATCAAGCTAACGACTTAGAATAGCCTTGCTATTAAGGAAATCTGAATGGAAAGCTTACCTGTATATTCCAGGAGAGCCATCTGACAGACATGGTGGTCAC